TTGATAATAGTCCTTTGTCTGAGGAACAGCTGGTAAAAATTTTTTCCCACACTGTAGATTGTCTCTTAGTTCTGCTGATGGTTTCTTTTGAAGTACAGAAGCTCTTTAGTAAGATGAGATCCCAGTTGTTGATTCTATCTGCTACTTCCCATGCTACTGAGGATTTGTTCATAAAGTCTTTTCCTATACCAATGTCTTCCAGAGTTCTGCCTAACTTACCTTCCAGCAAGTTTAATGTTTCTGCTTTAATATTTAGATCTTTAATCCATTTGGATTTTAATTTAGTGCATGGCGAAAGATAAGGGTCTAATTTTAATCTGTGGCAGGTTGACATCCAGTTTTTCCAACACCATTTATTAAAGAGGCTATCTTTCCTCCACTGAGGATGGTGAGCTCCTTTGTCAAAGATGAGGTAGCTGAGTATATCTGGAGTTGTTTTTTTGTCTTCCAGTCTGTTCCACTGATCCTCAGGCCTATTTCTTTGCCATTACCATGCTGTTTTTATCACAGTGGCTTTGTAGTATAGTTTCAAGTTGGGAATTGTTATGCCCACTACCATGTGTCTATTACCTAGGATAGTTTTAGCTATTCTAGGTCTCTTCTGGTTCCAAATGAATTTTTGGATTCTTCTTTCTAGGTCTGTGAAATATAGTGTTGGAATTTCAATTGGCATTGCATTGAATGTATATAGCAGCAAGGACCCAAGGACCTTTAATATTCTTTATTATCAAGGAGAAATGCAAGATTAAATTTATTTGAGCCAATTTTGATTATTTTGCCTCCAAATGATAATGTAAGTAGCTCAGAAATGCTAAATTATGCCAAGTAGGTTAATTAGTAATTATTAGTCCATCATCCTTTAAAATAAAAATACAGAAGATACTCTACCCATGTCTACCAATAACAAGGGGAAGATACAAAGTTACCTGTAAATGCTTAAACTTAAAATAAATTTAATTTAATCTAAAATAAGTTTATGATATGTATTTGATTCTTGATTGACACACATATTAGAATAACTCAGTGGGTTTTGGATCTTTTATTTTGTCAGTAAATATGTAGTAAGTCACTATCATCACAGGACAGAAAATTTAGAAAAAGATTCCAGAACCCAGTTGTCACAGTAAAACGTTTCAATAATAAGAGGAAAATTCTCATCATTTAGAACTGCAAGTTGTGTTATTGTATTAAAATATTGTAAGTAAAATTCAACATCTGTCATCATGGAAGATGTCACTAGTCCCTTGATGTTGAAAGGGCATAAAATAGTAACATATATAATTATCAAGGCATAAACTTTTAGATCATTTGAACTTACATTTTTTGAAAGGCTGCCTTTTATCTGTTTTAATATATTTTTATGAGTACATTTTATATTTACAATACAGTTACATTCATCATTGGGATCTTGTACCATCACATGACAGATCTTGGTTCTTATTTTTTCCCCATTCCCCTAGCCTCTCTTCCTCCTTCCACCCTTTCCTATTTACAAAAACTTTGTTTCTATTTTTTTCCTTTTCTCTTATTTTTCTCTTCCTTTTTTACCTTACCCCTACCCCTCCCATTTGCCCAAAACCTTTAGACCTTTATTTCCTATTACACAATATCAACTATACATTTGGATCCTTATTTACACTTTTAGTTTACCACACCAGAGAAACTATATGGTATTTACACATATGTATCATAGTGATTTCACTTAAGAGAATGTCCTCAGTGTATATCCATTAAGCTATAAATATCTCTAGTTTTTCATTCTTTATGGCTCAGTAGTACTGCATTTTATTTAAAAAAACACATCTTTATCCAGTCTCCAGTTGCAACCACTGTGGAAATCAATATGGAGATACCTTAAACAACTAGGATTGGAAGTCCCATTTGACCCAGCTATTCTCTTACTGGGTATCTTCCCAAAATAATTAAAAGAATTATGCACTGGGGATTTAGCTCAGTGGTTCTGCAGCCTGCCTTACAAGCGCAAGGACCCAAGTTTGATCCTCAGTACCAAAAATAAAAAATAAAAAAATAAAAGAATCATGCCACAGTGATATATGCTCAACCATGTTTATACCAGCACAATGTGTAATAGCTAAAACTTAGAAACAGCTCAACTGCCCATCAACAAGGCTATCTTTTTATGAAGTATTAAATACATGTCCAAGTTTTAAAAGTTTTGACTTGAAGTGATTTCCCCATTGACTGTGAAATGCAGTATCTGATTGACGTGTCATGATCCTGTAAAAGGTAAGGGATTTGATCATCGCCAGATGAGTTAAACAAGTATGGTGTCTGATGACCTGTAAGCACAGAATCGCCTGCTTAATATGGGTAGGCTCAGGTGAGGCAGCTGACACACTCTTCTGCTGACTCTACATGAATGTCTGAGCAAAACCATTTACCATGGAGACTCTGGCATAGTCACCTTGGTTTTGAGATTCTCTAAGTAAAGTGTTCGGAGTGAGAGAAAAGTCACAAACTTGTGTTCAGCTCATCTCTTCTTTGTCTTTACTTAACATCTGCAGAATGGTTTACAATAACTTATGAATGAGTATGGCCTTCAAAAGTGTTTATGCAACATGGAAATATACATAATGTACAATTTTTTAAATTAAAGACTTATGAAGAAATAAAATGTAGATTAATGGTGTCCCTTTCTACACAAAAAGAAAAAGAAAGTTATCTAACTTCTGCTGGATCTGGTCAAATTTTGCAAAAATAATTAGTACAGTCTAATTCTTATAGCCACTGTTCTTGGTTTTCAGACATTATGAAATGTAGAATTTAATCTGTCATCATCCTACTATTTCTTGTTATTCTACTATTTTTCCAATCTCAAGGATTTAACCCAGAGCCTCGGGATGCAATTCCTTTGCCACTGAGCAATATCTCCCGTCACTAGTAATTTTATTTCAAATTTACTCATCCTCAAGTAATATAAGGATTGCCATTATCAGTGGCAGATTGCCCTATTGCAAGTTTAATATAGAAGAAAAAGGACACACAGATTTGGAGCAATCTGTATTTGTCTTCTGCTGAAGAGCTGGTGATTTCTTCCGCATTTTACAGATTTGTACTGAAACCCCTGAATAGGATTCTCTTCCCCAAGACTGAAACGGAGGGACCATGTCCACATATTTAAGAATGATTTATTTTGGTTAGCCAAGAACCAAAAAAATCTCCCTAATTGGCACTTTTTCTTAGAGATGACAATATATTTTATCTATTAAGAATGAAATCATATTTGATTATGTTTTTGTGTCTTTCAGTCTATGTCTATGTGGTTTCTTTTACTAATTTCATATTTATTTCTTATGTCACACGTTGTCTATAACTTTTTCTTTTTACAGAATTGGAATTTATCTTTAATTATTAGGAATAGTTACAAAATATTTATATGATGATATTTTCCTTGCATGTGAATAACTGCAAACTAATTTGTGCAAGTTTAGTTCTGCTTTGTGAAGATGTACTATTAAAAGAAAAAAATGCAAAAGTAGGTAAAAATCATAACCTTCATCCAGATATGAAATTGACATGTCTCAATGGTTTTTGTTTATTACAAAAAGAAAACTTATAATGTTTTACAACTGGCTCAAAGAAGTGAAATGTATGTGCAGTATGTACGGTAAAAATGCTGAATTTATAAAACCGCTTTACGCATAGAGCAAAAATCAGTTATACTGTACAAGATATGATTTATATGCATTTTCTTGGACAACATTTGTACTTTATTGTTTTCTTCAAGCTGTGATGTTTATAGAGTAGTAAAATAGTCCAGTCAAATACAAACAAACACACCTGCAGCATCAGGTAATGCCTGGAAACTAAAATGTGACATTGGAAAGATGCCTAGATGTCACTTTTGTTCATCTCAATGTGTATTTTTTCTAAGTAATAAAAATATGTAAGCATATATAGTATATCAAAGTATTCACAAAAATTATATTTGAGATGTGATAGTAAGAATGATTTTGGTTTAGAATCTGATTATATGACATTGTGAAGAATATAATAATCATAAAACATAAATATATTGGACTTCATTGAAATTAAAATTTTCAGCCCACTAAATGTATATGATTCAAATAAGAAGTTTATAATAGGGAAAATATTTGTAATATAGTTATCTGGAAAAGAATTTGTACCTAGAATATATAAGGAATTATTATCATATCTCAATAACAAAGAAAATACAAAATGGGTAAAAGAATTAGACATATTTTAGAAATTATATAAATGTCTAATAATCACATACACATGTATTCAGCATGAAAATGCAAACTAAAACCAAAATTGGATGTCATCTCACCCTAATAGAAGAGGCAAAACTTAAAAGTTCAGAAATGTCAACTGTTGAAAAGATGGATCTAGAATTCTAATCCATTGCTGTTGGGAGTGAAAAATAATCTCGTTAGAAAATTGTTTCCCTGTTCTTCAAAAATTTAAGGGTACACCACCAAATCACCCAGTAATTCACTTCTGTAAGATTATTCAAGAGAAATTGAGACACATGCCACAAAGAGAATATCCATAAAAGGTTTTTGTTTTGTTTTATTTTGGGTACTGGAGAATGAACTTGGGATCTTGAGCTTGCAAGGCAGACAGTGGAACCATTGAGCTAAATCCCCATCCTAACAGTTTTCTTTAAAATAGAAAAAAACGGAAATAACCTAAATGTCCTCCAATTCTATAGGGAAAAATAAAACCATTTGATTTCTCTTACTGAGAAGATGAAAGACCTCACGTCACAGAACATGTCAGTGACCAGGTAGTGTGGGGTTTCCCCACACAGAAACCATGTGGTTATGCGGTGGAAACCGACTGGGTGTCTTAAAATTTAACTCACACTATCTGCACTCTCTGCATGGAGCTAGGGTCAAAACCTATAGATTTGGGTTTCATCCCTCTAGATTCTCACCAGCTCAGAAGTCAATTGATCCCTCCTAATGTATGGAGAGCATTGTAAAGGAGCACGACCTGAGCACAGCCATACTGACCTGTGATTCACCCGAGCAGTGTGGACGTGCCGTCGCCCATAACAACGGGCTAGTTCAGCTGGTGGTCTGACCTGTTGCCTAGCAAATGTAACCCATAATAGTTATTGTTGTACTACGGTTTCCTGCTGGAATGTGTGGGCGGCACTCTTTTTTCCTCTTGCAACCTTGTGGCTGGAGAGTATAAAAGGGAGAGGTTCGGTAATAAAGCAAGCAAGGAACATGAGAAGAAAAGTGCCTCCCGTCTCTCTGTCCTCGTCCTTTCAGGTTTAGGACCTGCTGGCAGGATCCTGACGTCGCGGCTCGCGACACTAATGTAACTTACCCTACTGACTGGATAGCTATAAATCAGGGTTCCCATAAGAATCGCTTTAAATTCAAGTAATTTACTCAGACGCTTCATAGAAGTCAAGGAAAACTCACATTTACTATTTTATTATAAAACATATCACAAAGGATATCGATAAACAGCCAGATACAAGAGATACACGGGCCATGTAAAGGAAGAAAAACGGTCCATGTCAAAGCAAGACAGAAAGAAAGCAGCAAGCAGAAAGCAATGACAACAGCAGAAGCAGCAACCAAGCCTGCCTTCATATTTCATCCAGGATACCTGCCCTTTGGTTGGTGTCACCCACACCCAGCGTGTGGCACTCTTCGTGCCAGTGTCACACAATCCCAGTAACACATACCCTATTTCCAGCCCTCTCCAAAAACCCCTACCTTTGACCTCATGAGGCTTTGGAGGCACATCTAGATATAAGCCATAAAAGGCTCTCATCACACAAAAATTTATGAAGGGCTTGGATCTCTGTATCTTGAACTGGTGTCGATGACCAAATATTAGAATGAAAAATTTTACCAACACCCCCTAAATACAGTTATTTTGGGAGATACATACAGATATAGAGACCAAATGTATTTCTCATGTTACCATAACATTTTCTAATGATGTATACCTTTGAATTAGTTTTTTTTTTAAAGATTTATATTGGCTACTCTTGTGCTCTTGTGATTTCATGTGCATTTTAGAGTCACCTTGCCAATTTACATACATACACATACTTGCATGAAATCTACAGGTCAATTTAAATAGAATCATAATCTCTAATACCAAATATCCCAAGCCATATATTCTGTTTACTTCCAATATGTTTAGATCTTCATTAATTATTCCCAGTACTACTGTCATCTTCCTATGTGTAAGTCTTGCACACTTTGGTTAGACTTGTTCCTAGAAATTTTATGTTTCTTGAAACTATCTTAAATACTATAGTCTTTAAAAGGAAAATTGTGATGGTTGCTTCTGTAAGAAACTATATTGGTAGATTTTTGTATCTGGACCATTACCTAGGAAACTTGTTCAGTTTCATATAAATTTGGAATAAATTCTCTTTTATGTGTAGTTTTTCTAATTGTATATATTTATAATCATGCTATCTATAAGTAATGATAATTCTTTATCCTTTTTACATATAAGTAGCATATATATATGGTTGAGAATAATAATTATACATTTCTAGGCTAGACATCAAGATAAAAATCAATTAATATTTCACATTTCTTCTACCTGATTCTCCTCATGTTTACATGCTATATTTTTCTACTACTGGAATGTGACATGAATTTGGGAGACACGTGAATATCAAGGAAAATAGTCTTAGTGTAAAGACTTCTTTGTTCATGTAATAATTGAAAGACAAATAGTTAATAGTAAGCTCTAAATATCCACTTATTTCTCACTTTCATTGTTAATAAATATTGACTTACTTTCTTTTCATCTTAGTTTTTATTTCTATTATAACAAATTACTACAAACAGTGGTATAAGACAACACAAATTTATGACCTTACACCAATCTGGGTTCGTGATGTTTCTCTTCTTTGATTTTCAACAAACAGAGATGAAGTTGGAGCCCTGTTGGGAGGCTGTGAGAGAGAAATAATTCAAACATATTCAGGTTATTGCTCAAATCCACTTCCTTGTGATTGCAGGGCCCCTTTTCCTGCCAAGTGACTGGCAGTGACTTCTAAAAGTCTCTCTACAACCTTGCAATCGATTATGCCTCAGAAGCAGCAGTGTTACAGGGAAATCTTCAACTGGGAATTTCTCTGATTTCCTTCAATCTCATGTTATATCCTGTCTTTCTTCCACCCTAAGAAAATTCCCCGCACGTAAGGTTTAGATAATTAGGTTGGGCCCAACTGGATAATTCAGAATAATCTCTCTATTTTAATGCCAGGGACAGCACTATTGAGTGCAGGCTGTTAAGAGTCAATCTCTCAATTGGCTTGTTGGGAGAAGCAAGTCGGGCTGAAACCTACGTACAGAGAGCAAGAGAAACTTGCACCCAAATTCCATTCCCACGATTAAAACCTTCTTAACTAGAAGGACAAGGCTGCAATTAAAACCCTATATTTCTATTCTGTTCCTAATTTGAGAATGCTTTGTCTTGACCTTTACGAGCCTTGCTTGCCTTAGTATCCATAGTAACTGCGTGACTGCTCATCCTTGCATGTATTTCCCGTTTAGCACATAGTTCGCCTTTACCCCAATTGATTACCAATAAAAATCAGTGGCTTTGACTGACCAGGGCCTTTGCCGGATGAGCATCATTGGTTGTCCTGGCTCCCTGGTTTGTCTCTTTAGTTCTGTCTTTTAGATTTTTTTTTTTTTTTCCTCAGCCTTGTGCCACAGCACAAGGAGCAGGAGATCAGAATCCACTGCAGAGGTCTCTGATATTTCAATGTCAGTATTTTAATTGAATCCTGAAAGTCCCTTTTGCCATGTAACTCAGAGTATTTTAGAAATTAGGGTTACATGCCTTTGAAATTGGAGCAGGGTGCACCCTTCAGGCTACCTCATTTTGTTCCGTCTCACACAAATTCATACTTTCCCTCCATCAGATGAAGCCCTTTCATGATTCTTTTCAACAAAAATTATTATTATTTCCATGGAAATATCACAGCCTTACTCATCTCTGCTAGATTGTTCAATACTATCCTTCTTTTATTGTCTCCTCACTATATTTAGTCTGCGTTCTCTTAGTATAAATACATCAGTATGTTTTCCTTTTGAAATGCCCTCAACTTTACTTTTTCTTACTTTTTTATCTTTAGAGCAAGTCAAAATTATATATTTACAGTTTCAGATGCTTTCTCTATGGTTATGTTTCCATCAAACATGAATGCTTACAAACAATGTATTTTAAAGACATTATCACAATGATTAGGTATCAAAAAGATGAGTCACTTTGCAGCAAAATAAGTCAATCTATTAGGAATTATATGGTTATAATTTTGTTTTCCTTTTTCATGGCTCAAATATTTATTGCATTAGTTATACGGAATTTCTTCATATAATTTACTTAAATATGCCACATACAATGGGAAATATGACTGCTCCGCACTTCCTGAAATGGTTCATGTAAAATCACCACTTCTTTCAAATATCAAAAAAAAGGAGTTTTCAGATGTGTGCAGATGTTTCTTCTAATTTATTATTGGCTTTCTTACATCCACAAAGCAACTATCCTATTTTGACTTGATGGCAGGAGTCCTAACTGTGCCAAATTATAAATGCACTCTTGTTTTACAGTGTCATTTCTTCAAGGCATATATATGCCCATTGCAAAGTGTGCTTCCCGCTATTTAAGTGGACTGATGTATTTCCCAATAACCATGCCTCAGAATGTCTCTGGTTCACTTTTGAAGAGTTACAAAATATCAACAACATCTAACAAAAGAATGCTGGAGTTATAGTTGATGTAATAACAAGGCATTCATTTGGAAAATGTTAAATAATTAAGAATTCAGTCAGGTATCAATAACAATCCCATTATTCAGATGTTCTGCATCATCAACCCTGAAACAGTCAAATACTCCTTGACTTTTGGGTGTGTCCTATGTTTTAAATTAAAATTATGAAGAAGGAGTTTCTCTGTTTTTCTAGTTCTTCATATTACAATATACTAAAATTCAAAGGAAACATAAAAAGCTTGAAAGAGGAGACACCACAGATTTATGTTGAGAAAACATAAGCCAGGAAAAGGTACACAATCCGCCTCAACACGCTATGGCCATTTTTTTCTACTGGACTCTTTTATTGAATGTGTCTGGATCTCAATATAATACTCCTAAAATGGACACAGGAAAGCTCTTTTACGACTTAAGAAAGAGGGTTGACTTTTTCAATGATTTGTCTAAACATGGAATTTTGAGAGAAAAGGGGACATAGTGAATTTCTCATGGTGAAATGGTTTTGTTACAACATCATATCTAATACTACAAAACTAAGCTTAAGAATATGTATATAAAAAGCGAAAGATTTATACGATCTGAAGAGAAACCAGGGAGGGCAGAGGTAAGGGGAAAAAATGAGAACCAAGACCTGCCATGTAGAGGTACAAGATCCCAACAATGAATGTAACTGTACGGTATCCCTAAAATGTACCAATAAACTCAATTAAAGCTGAAAAAAAAGAATATGTATATAAAAGAGCTCTAATTTATACAGAATAAATTCTATGGATTTCTAAATTTAAATGTTAACATATAATGTAGTAATACTATCTATGATCTACAATGGCCACTGGCAAAAATTCAATGAAAAAAACTTTCCCATTTTCATACTGGTTGTTACTGACAGGAGTGCATACAATGTTCACTTTTTAAATTTATATATTTTCCAAATTTTACATAATGATTCAATATCATTTTCATCACTTTTTCTTTATTCATATTGTTATATACAATTATGATAAATACTTAGAGAATATGTCTGTGGGACCTTATTTATCTAAAACGGGTTCCTCGACACACACTAGTACTAGAAAAATTGTTAAGTAAGTTATTCTACTTTTAAAATAATAATTTAAAGTAAATATATCAGAGAGTATTACATAAAATTGATTTCACAATATACAATTAAGAGAACAGCTATATATGTTATATACAATGCTTATATAAAACAAGCAATATAAGGTTTTATTTTTTCAAATATATATTATTGAAATTCCATAGCTATACAGTTCAGTATGAAA